TTTTTCAAAATGAAAGGATAAACATTTTGAGGACCCAATGGTATAGATTTTTTTTTTAAACAAACACTCCTGGAAAAGTGTGCCACTTGAACAGAGAGCTGTTCAACAGTGGAACACATCTCCCTCGGAGATTTTGGTGGAGTCTCCTTCTTTGGAGGTCTTTAAACAGAGGCTGGAGGGCCATCTGTCGGGGATCCTTTGATTGAGAGTTCCTGCATGGCAGAATGGGGTTGGACTGGATGGCCCTTGTGGTCTCTTCCAACTCTCTGATTCTCTGAGACCGGGTGAATCATATGTAGTCTGATGTGGATGTCCCATTTGGGTGAAGTGGGATTCATATCCACTATGTAATAAATCGGGTTTCCAAACCAATCTGAATCAGTTTAAATGCCCTTTGTTCGCACTCGCATTGGATTTCCGGCAAGGTTTGCCAACGGGGTGCAGCGCTAGATCCATTTGAACCAGTTCGTCCATATCTGCAGCATTCCCCGCTTCTTTTGAAATGAATCAATTCATAGAATCATAGAGTTGGAAAAGACCACAAGGACCATCCAGTCAAACCCCCTGCCATGTAGGAACTTATAATCAAAGAACCCCCAATAGATGGCCATCTGGTCTCGCTTTAAAGAGTTTCAGAGATGGAGACTCCATCATTCTCCGAGGGAGTGTGTTCCACTTTCAAACAGCTCTCACTGTCAGGAACCTTCTTCTAATGTTGAGTGGAATCTCTTTTCCTGGAGCTTGCATCCATTGTTTTGAGTCCTGTTCTCTGGAGCAGCAGAAAACAAGCTTCCTCCATCCTCAATATGACACCCCTTCAAATATTTAAACAGAGCTACCATATCCCCTCTTAACCGTCTCTTCTCCAGGCTAAACATACCTAGTTCCCTAAGTCGTTCCTCATAGGGCTTAATGGTTTCCAGACCCTTTACCAATTCAGTGGCAGTGTGAACATGCTGTCTATTTGATTCGGTTCCTGTGGTGCAGTCACCCCTGTGAGGCGACTCCATGTTGAATTGGTCCATTGGTGAATGTGAATGTGAAGTGGATTAAATCAAAACAGGTAGGTTCAAACACAGCTCGAATAGTAGTGCCCTCATTCCCACTACATAATAAACTGGTTTGCAAACCAATCTGAACCGGTTTAATTGGCCCTTTTTCGCATTTGTGCCGAATTCCTAGTGCCGTTTGTCAAGGGGGGCTCAGTGCTAAACCCGGTTCTTCCAGATCCTTGGCATTCATTCCCTGTGTCTTTTGCAACAAAGCGATTCAGCACAAGTGTGAATGGGCTACAGATCTAAATCAGTTCCCTATGGCGCGGTCACCCCTGTGAGGCAACTCCATGTTGAATTGATCCATTGCTAAATATGAACGTGAAGCAGATAAAATTGAAGGGTAGATCTGATCATGGCTCAAATAGTATGAACATCTATTCGGTGTTAAATCGCTTCATCGATTCGATTAAAAAATCCCGATTTATTTTGTAGTGGGAATGAGGCTATTAAGAGCTTTTATGAGATTAGGTAGTAAAGCAAGGGAAGTCTTGCCTCTCTCAGTTCTGCAGAATCATGATGGCAACCCCTTCCCATCTGCTGTGGGCAATTAAACTGGTTTTAAATTGCTTTCTAGTCTGTATTCTGGCCTGAGGTTTATAGATAGATAGATAGATAGATAGATAGATAGATAGATAGATAGATAGATAGATATAGGATGGGATAAAATTACTTCAGTAAGTACATACAAACATAAATGGGTACAAACTTGGTAATGCATATATTAAAAAAGATTCATCTGTACCATTGGGTCCTCAAAATATTTATCCTTTCATTTTGAAAATTATTAGAAATAAACTCTTCTAGAACATATCCCGAAAAACCCATAGAAAACTACAGCCATGAAAGCCTCCAACTTTGCAAATGATAGTATTTGCCCATAGGGATACATTGGGGAATACTTGCCCATAGGGAAATATAGGCAAACACCTGTCTATAGAGCAGCGGTTCTCAAATAGTGGGGCAGGCCCCCCGGGGGGGCGTGAGGCTCCGTAAAGGGGGGCCTGTTACGGCTGGAGAGAGGGAAATTGTCCCAGCGCAACCCCAGTAGCAGCCCGACATGCTCTATCCTGATTGGTCAAACCCACCCATGTGACTATTTACAGTCGTGCGGGGGCACGCGAAATGTTTTCTTCTTTCCTAGGGGGGGCGTGACAGAAAATAATGGAGAAGCACTGCTATAGAGAAACATATATTTCCCTATGAGCAAGTATTCCCCAATGTATCCCTATGGGCAAGTATGGTTTCTCTATGGGCAAATAGTACTATCTTTTGTTTTAGTACATCCCGTTGTGTGCCTTCAAGTAGTTTCCAACCACCCTCGGGGCAAGTCACATTCTCTCAGCCTCAGAGGGTGGCAAGGCACGGTGGCCAGATATCTTCACTGTTAAAAATGGAGGGCATTGGAGAGAAATGTGGGATATCCTCAAGTCAAAGGTAAATATAAATGTGTCGTATGAATGTAAATTTATGCTTCTTAGACTGTATCCACACTGAAGAAATAATCCCCAGTTTGAGACCACTTTAAACACCCTGTGGTCTCAAACTGGATTATTGCTTCAGTGTTTTTTAGACACTAGTCTCACAATGGAGGATGTTTTGGAATTCCTCCTGGACAGAGGTTGAAATGGAGGACATGTCCTGGAAAAGGAGGATGTCTGGTTATCCTGTGGCAATGGCAAGCCTCCTTTGGAGAGACTTGCCAAGAAACCCCCATGTCAGGTGACCTGAGGTCCTCCTTTTCCAGGAGATGTCCTACATTTCAATATTCTGTTCAGGAAGAATTTCAGAAATGTCTTCCATTTTGAGTAAAACTAAGAAATATTAATTTACTTTTATATGAGTGCTTTCGGCTTTTAGTTTGCAATGTCCTAAATTATTCTTGTCCTACATTTTGCAGTGATTCGTCTTATTTTGTGGTTGGGACATCTAGTCACCCTGCCCCATGATAGACAACAACAAAGTCAAACCTATTATGGAGTATTCTTGGCAGATTTCTCCAGAGGGAGGGGGTTGCCATTGCCGTCCTCTGAGGCTGAGAGAGTATGACTTGCCCTGGGTCACCCAGTGGGTTTCTATGGCCAAGCCAGGATTCAAAACTGAGTCTCCAAAGTTTACTATTGAGTAAATCCTACCCATGGGAGCCAGTATGTGGCATAGTAGTTTGAGTGTTGGACTGTGACTCTGGAGACCAGAATTCAATTCCCAGCTCAGCCATGAAATCCACTGGGTGACCTTTGGCAAGTCACACTCTCTCGGTCTCAGGAGAAAGCAGTGTCAAACCTCTGAATGAATCTTGCCAAGAAAACCATGTGATAGGTTCTCCTTAGATCATGATAAGCTCTTCTTAGGGTTGCCATAAGTCGGATATGACTTGCAGGCATACAACAACAAAATCCCATCCAGTGCAGTTGATTTGCTTCTGAACAAGCAAGTTGTTCAGCGGGACTTACTCTCGGGTAAGTGTGCCTGGGATTTTCATCTCTGGCTGTGCATGGCACTGTTGCAAGGAGGGACTGGTACTCACTTGCAACACAAGGAGACTGGTCCCTTCTTCGGTCTCTGGCAGCTCGAGTTTAAAACGATTTAGTAGACAGGTACATAGTGGTAATGATCTCCCTTTGTAAGAAACCACAAGGAGCTGCTGATTGTGGAGTAAATAGTAGGTTGTTTGATGCCATAGAATACAGTTTGCTATGTACCTGTTGTGGTGGTTGTGTGCCTTCGAGACATTTCCAAATTATGGCCACCCTAAGGCAAACCTATCATGGGGTTCGTTTGGCAAGATTTATCCAGAGAAGATTTGCTATTGCCTTCCCCTGAGGCTGAGAGTGTGTGACGCCCAAGGTCACCCAGTGGATTTCATGGCTGAGCAGGGAATCAAACCCTGGTCTACAGAGTCATAGTCTAACACTCAAACCACTACACCATGCTGTCGCCACGCAAAAAAGAATTCATTGATATTTCCGGGGGGTAGAATCATAGTTGGAAGAAACCACAAGGGCCATCCAGTCCAACCCCCTGCCATGCAGGAAATCATGATCAAAGCATTCCCGACAGATGGCCATCTAGCCTCTGTAGCTATGTTGCTGAGCCAGCATGGTTTAGTGATAGACGGAGACTCCAGGAAAGCACCTGAAGTGAAGGCATGTATGCAAACTGTCAGGCTGATTTCCTAGGGATCACTTCACTGCAGTATACTTGAATGAATCCTAGGGAAATATAACACAGGACCCAGCATGGTGTAATTGTTTGCATGTTGGACTAGGATTCTGGAAGGCCAGGATTCAGATCCCTGCTCAACCATGGAAAACTACTGGGTCATCTTGGGCAAGTCACACACAGCTCTTTAGAGCAAGGCAATAGCATGCCTGCTCTGGATAAATCTTGCCAAGAAAACTCCATTATAGGACCACCATAAGTCAGAGTCACCTTGAAGGCACATTACAACAACAATCCATGCTAGGTCTGTTGGGTCAAAAACAACGAAGAGTCTTGTCAGATTTTGTGTGGCTCAAGTTTTCATGGAGAGCAGCCTGCTCCATCCACTCCATGTGTGCTGCCATGCGGGAATCCTTATGCCGAATAAAATTTGTTAAGGCTTAAGTTGCCTGTCGTTGTTATTTTGCCATAATATATAGTGGATTATGTACAGTTTAACAATTTAGGGTGCTTCTAGGTAGAGGAGTCTTGGTGCCACCAATCAAAAGGCATCTTATCCTCCATAACAGATTTTTTTCTTAGTAAGAAAAAAACTTTCAGAAATTCATGTTTAAATATTTGAAGGGATGTCATATTAAGGATGGAGCAAGCTTGTTTTCTGCTGCCCCAGAAACTAGGACACAGAGCAGTGGATTCAGACAACAGAAAAAGCTATTCCATCTCAACATTAGGAAATACTTCCTGGCAGTAAGAGCTGGAGTCTCCTTCTTTGAAGGTTTTTAAACAGAGACAGGATGGCCATCTGTCAGGCTTTGACTGTGATTTGACTGTGATTTCCTGCATGGCAGTGGGTTCAACTGGATGACCTTTGGGGTCTCTTCCAACTCTGTGATTCTGTGTAGAAGGACACTGGGAGAGAAAACACGGGAGGTTACAAGTGGAAGGCAGTAATACAAACACACAGTTTGGGAAACGCTTGATCAGGGAGCAGTGTCTTAAGGCACCTTAAAGTAAAATTGTAAAGTACCCAGTCTACAGCAAATAAACTTTCAAATGGAGCTTGGAGAGAGAATGGTGAGTTAAAATTCCAGTTTATCATCAGAGGTTTGAATCAAGGATAATGGTTTCCCATCACACTGCATGTGGTCATTGACCAGTTGGAGTTATCTTTAACTGAATTAATTGTAAGTAATTAACTTAATTAATTATTAATAATAATTTAATTAATTATTTGATTAGTTGAGGTGAATAACCAGTGTTAATAATTGTCATTGCTATTGCTCATGTCGACTGCCTGAGATTTTATTTGAAATTCCAGATAACAGTTCACATATCTTCCAAATTTCACGCAGTCCATGAAGACTCCTGCTATGCTTAGTTTTTAAGGTATCACAAGGCAGCTTGTTGTTTTTGTAGCACTTGAAAGGCTAGCTAGTTTATATGTAGTAGAAACCCTTGAGCCCGCACTTAATCATGTGTAGGAAGCACTATACTTAGCTGGTTGATACATCTCCTTATTTATGTATATTTATTTATATTCTGCCTTTCTCTCAAAACTGAAAGTCAAGCCAGCTAAGAAGATGAACAAAATGTACAAGTAAAACTAAACAAATTCAAAGATTATAAATAAACAAATTCAAAGATTAAAACAAAATTGAAACTGAAACAGCAACAGTAAGGAAAAGAGAACATCCATATGGAATAGATCAGCATTCCCCAACCTGATATTCTCCAGACATTTTAGACTTCCAGAAGTTCCAGTCAGGGTAGCCAAAGGTGTGGAATTATGGCCGTTGTTGTTGTCCCCAAAATAATCTGGAGTGCATGAAATCAAAGGAGGCTACAGCTACAGACCACTGCAGAGGCAAGACATGCTGGACGGGATTGGAAAGAAGATATGACAGTGAAACACCTTCATAAATGTTGCCTTCTACATTTCTGTTCAAAGTGTAAGAGGCCTGTTCTATTTTGCACCTGGCCACCATTAAGCCATGAAATCTAAGAGGTTTATTCTTTGAAACTGCTTATATATAAAGCTCAGGTTTTCACAAAGTAGTCACAAACTACTCTGTGCAGCACTGGCCCTAGATGTTGTTAAATTACATCTTGCACCATTATTTTCCAGTGTAGCAATGTGAGGAATGCTGGGAAGTGCAGTCCAACAATACCTAGAGGTCTGTACTTTGCCCACTTTTGCCTCACAGCAACAGTAATTGAGAAAGACATTTATTTTATTTTTTTAGTTTTGCTCAGCCAATTTAACCCTTGTAGGAAGATGGAAACTTTTGGTCTTGCTTGAGTCCTAAATAAACTTGCATATAAATTCTAGTTCAGTAATATTTTGCAGTAGGTTCCCTCTCATTGAAAGAAATGGTTACTGTATTCTGTGTTAGCAACAAGGTCAGAATATCAATAATAATAATAATAATAATAATAATAATAATAATAATAATAGTAATAATAAATTTTATTTATACCCTGCCCCTCTGTGCAAAATCGGGGAGGCTAACAACAATTAAAAATACATAAAAGACAAATCCAAAGGACCAATAGTTGGTGAATTTGTTCCTGAGCCCCCACAGGAGTCATCCCCAGTTATTTCCTGAATTATCCAACATTTCTGTTACTATCAGTATATTTATGCAGTATCTGAAGAACTGAATAATGAACGCATGGGATTAGGCTGTTACTCTCGCTGAAGTTGCTGGGCTGAAAATGGGTTCACACATGAAGATTTCTGTGTTGCTATTACATTTTGTATTTTATTTACTCTTCTTTTATTTCTGTGCCACCATTGCTGGAACAATCCACACGTGCAGAAAACAAGGGGTCCTCTTGACTAGTAGTCAAGTCATACCAGTATCAAAACCTGTAGAATATTTATATGTTTCCATTTGAGTCATTAATGGATAAACGTACATAGATGTGACTGGTTGTTGTTGTGTGCCTCCAAGTCATTTTTTAGTTACAGCAACCCTATCATAGGGTTTTCTTGGCAAGTTACATCAAAAGGGGTGTCATCATGTGAGGCTGTGAGAAAGTGTGACTTGCCCATGGTCCCTGTGAGTTTTTATGCTTGAGCAGGAATCGAACTCTGATCTCCAGAATCATAGTCCAACACCCAAACCACTACACCAGGGGTAGGCAACCTTTCCCCTTTAAGGGCCAAGGGACTTCAGCTCCCAGAATCCCAGGAGCTATTGGCCAACATGGGACTATTGGCCAACATGGCTGAGGCTTCTGGGAGCTGAAGTCCCTCGGCCCTTAAAGGGGAAAGGTTGCCTACCCCTGCACTACACCATGTTAGTTCTCAGGTAACTGGTTATCATGACCTATTTTCAGTTTAACTTAATTGTAATAGACTTTTAGTGAGAAAGATTTAAGCTGCAATCCTAAATACACTGAATACGGTGCGGCTTATCTCTCTGCGTTGGTTATAGATAGTGTCCATGTCAGTGGGGCAATGAAACTCTTATGGGCTTTTATCTGAACTTTAAAGGATTTAGCAAAGATGCTGAAACCTATCCCCAACAGGTTCAGCATCTGGGATAGCTCCATTAAAGTTTAGACCACAACATATACCAGCACCATTGCCTTATTGACATAAAAGCCATCTACTGCCCCTGTCCTTCAGTAGGTATGCGGAGGACTGCATTGCTATGGTCATGAAACTTTCTTTCCAACTGAAATCAATTTTCCTCTGCTTTTGAGCAAGCATTTGAAAATCTATTAACTTCACTGTTCTTGTGACTTCAAGGAATATAAAGAATTATTTGATTTTGACTGGAGAGCCTTCTACACTTCATTTTTTTGCTACAGCAAGATTTACTGCTGTAAGAGGTTTAAGAGTTACCTTGATGCTTCATTGGGTCCAGTACAATTACTATTAAGCAAAGGCTTTAGAGGAGCTAGAAGTGATTTGAGCTCATTATTTCTTTGGGCGTTTGATAATATCCTGTCACCCAACCTAATTGCAATGGGATACATCCCTTACAGATAGTGTCAGCTCCGCTTCCTCTGGCCAAGACGTCATGTTAAAATAGTAAATCAAAAAGGGGATCAGATGCCTTCACTTTATTGTACATTCACTGACCGCATGATGGGGGCTTATGCCAGCAAGTGCTACCACCAACCATGGACTTCCTGCATGGCAGGGGGTTGGACTGGATGGCCCTTGTGGTCTCTTCCAACTCTATGATTCTATGATTCTATGAACCTAACCAGCTTGCAAGCCATGCCCTTCTTCCTAGTGTGCATTTGTTGAGCATAGCCTTACATGTGTACTGATATATCCACATTGAGTCACATGCAAGAAACTGTGTGATATAGTGGTTAGTACATTGGACTAAGACTTGCTAGATTCAGGTTCTATTCCCCCAATGAGGTATAAAATTTGCTGGGTGATCCTTTACAAGGTTGTGAGGATAAAATGGGAAAGGGAGCTACATATAACACCTCAGGATATAGATGTAACATATAGAAATTATTTGCCCACTGTTTTTATGTAGAAGAACTCTCAATGTGCATATTGCTATGCATATAGAGCCTCTTCTCACATTTTGCAAATGTGCAACTAGTAATGGGGATGACTGAGAATTATAGTGAGAGTATAGTGAGATTCAGAGGATGACAATGGCAAACCTCTTCTGAAAAAATCTTGCCAAGAAAACCCCATGATAGGTTTGCCATAAGTTGAAGGCACACAACAAGAAGAAATAGACTAGAGAGACTAGAGGCAGGGGCTGAAAATGGCCTCCCTCATGCAAAAAGGAGTC